CAGGCCTATGGGGAATCCTTGAGCCAAAGCTGCCCATTAGAGGAATCCTGCATCCCTCAAAAATGGGCCTGCGCTAATACCCCTGCTGCGCTCAATCACTGACTAGGAGCAACCCAAGGGAAATACGATCTCAGCATAAACACAGTGGTGGATCTGGCAAGACAACAGCTGAGGCTGAAAGTCAACTATGTTCCTTACAGCAGGAGATCTGAGCAGGTATTTCCCTGGATGCTACTTACTAAAGGAGGAGATGATTCCTAATGCCAGCTCCACACACAGATCGTGCTTACCATATCATCTCACTGCCACTTTGCAGAATGTGCATCTTGTTACTATGTTAGTCTAGGTCCCTATGGCAATTTCAGGATCTGAATGTGGCCTATTTACCTAGGTGAGTTGAGTGGAGTGGAAGAGAAAAGAGCCAGGAGAGGGAATATGGATGTTACCCTGGCCAGAGGATCCAGGCTGAGTTTCCTCAGAGTCAGAGGCCTAGGAGAGGACTTCTATTATTCCTAGAAAACATCTGCATCTGTGTATGTGCGTGTGTGTGTGTCATGCACACTTCACTTTCTGCCATGTTCTGAGACAGAGAATGTACAGAGATGCCAAGGCAGAACAAAATTGAGTGTCTCATTTGCAATTTATCTAAGAATGCCGATATTGATTCAAATTTAATGTTTCTACCTTAAAATATGAATTGTATTATAAGTAGGATAATTCAAAGTGAATCTTCATACAATGTTTGTATTTTGTGGAGTTATTAATCATCAACTTTATTACTTTAGTTTCTTTTTCCTAGATTAGATTTCGGGCCAGTCTCAGCCCTGTCATTATACTCTGTAGCAATTGGGGACTAACCCCTCAGGTTTTCTTTTGTAGATTAAGGATATGAGAAGCCAGAGAGAAGCTGAATCCTTAGAGCTTTTATTGTGGCCCAAAGGATGAGGTCATTCTGTAGTTCTCCAAAAGGCCAGCTGTGCCTCTCAGGCCCATAGGAGATAGGAGATGACGGGGTTGGTTTTCCATATCTCCCCACTCCCTGACAATAAACCTTTGAGGTAATCTGGGTACATGTATAACTCTTCCTTGCAACATAGAAAAACCTAATTCTCGGTAGTTCAGGAGAGAGATAAGGATGATCTGAAGTGAGATGTGGGTGAAGCTGGAGAAGAAAGCCCATCACTTGGGGATTGAATGTTGTAGGATAAAGAGGAGTCAGGGAAAGCTCCTAGGTTTTCTGTTTGGAGCCCTGGGGGGAAGGATGCACCACCAACAGAGATAGAGGACATCTAAGAGGCAGGTTTGAAGGGAATTTGCAAAACTCAGGTATTGAGCAGGTTGGGTTGGAGGTGCCTGTGGGAACACTTGGGACACATTTATAGCAGACAGCTGGATATTTGGGTCTAGTCTGGTTATTTATTGCTACCTAACACACTACCACAAAATTGAGTGGTTTAACACAACACTATATATTCACTCACAATTCCTCAATTTGCACGTGGTGAAAATAGCTCATCTCTGCTCCACGTGGCATCAGCTGGGGCAACTTGATAGGGCTGCAGAATCCACTTCCAAGATGGCTCACTCACATGTGTGGTAAGTTGTGTTGTATCCAATGGGAACACAGCTGGGGCCTCAGTTTTCCTATTTGGCCTCTTGAAATGGCTAGGTTAGACTTCTGACACCATGAGAGTCTCAGAGTACTTAGATTTCTTACATGGTGCTTCCTCCAAAGGGCAAAAACAAGCTGTTGTCAAAAACAAAACTCACTGAACAAAGAAATGGATTTTATGCCGACTATTGCAATGGAGAAAGTACCTAGATTTGAGGATCACAGTGTCTTAGCAGAGGTTTTGCCTTGTACTTTTATAGGGAGGAGTAGACAGGTTATATCTATCAGTGGGATGATTTATAGTTGTGAGACAAGGAAATTGAAGGGACCTCATGAACGATGGCTTTTTTTGCTGCTTTTCATATCAGGACCTACACTCCTACCTTACACATGCCTTATGGTAGAGATAATGTATGACTTCCTTGTAAAGTTCAAGGAGTTAATTATTTCTTCGGAATCCTCCAGCACAGTAGATAACATCTAAGGAGTGACTACATGGGGTCTTCATGAACGTTTTTCCAAGATTCCCTAGCTCCAGGGCATAAATGACTTATGGAAGACACTTAAAAAAAAAGATTTTATTTATTCATTGAATGAGAGATACAGAGAGATGCAGAGACATAGGCAGAGGGAGAAGCAGGCTTCCTGTAGGGAGCCCAGTGCAGGACTTCATCCCTGGGCCATTGGATCACACCCTGAGCTGAAGGCAGATGCTCAACTGCTGAGCCACCCAGGTGTCCCAACTTATGGAAGACACTTAAACACTCATCTTTGTTCCTGGATGCCTGAGAAGACAAGAGACCAGAGTCCTCAATAAAAATAATAGACACTAATAAAGATGAGACTCATTCTTTCCTTTCTGAGTCTTCCCGATGCTTTGTCTGCACTCAATGTCTTCAATAAACTCTGCTCTCACTTTCTCTTGGCTTGCATTTGATTTCTATCTTCTGCAAATCCAAGGACCCTCTTGGCTGGTCTTGTGGGAACCCCTCTGGGTCCTTGGACCCAGCTAGCCTGCATCAGTTGGAATGGGTTTGTAATCAGGAGATGTCTTAGTCAACCAGGACATGTTTATCTCTGTGCCTAGCCAATTTCAAGGCAACACACAGTTCTAATCTCAGCTAATCATCCATGAGATTGATGAGGTTGAAGGGTTTGTGCCTGACCTTGCCAGCAGGTTCAGGCAAAAAGGGAAAGGTCTGTGTTTGGTCTTGTCACAGGTAAACAAGAAGTCATCTAGTCTTTTGAGGAAGAGTCTCACCTAAGTCATATGGCAAAGGCTTGTTCTATGTGGTAAGCTATTTCCCAGAACACAGTTGGGTAGGAGGATTTCTTAATTATTTTTTTTCCATGAGTACAGGTCCAGTAAATTTCATTGTTGTCACTGCAAAGTCTTCTTAAGGCCTCAGCCTGGAACTGGCAGTGATTTATGCCATATTCTATTGGTTAAAGCAGTGCCAGGTCTGGCCCACACTCAAGGGGAGGGTATTACACAAGGGCATGAATATTGGGGTTCATCATAGGCCACCAAAATACAGTCTTTCACAGAGTCTGAACCTTGGACTGGATACTTAGAATGGGATGCTACTAGCATATCCTAGGTGGTAGCTGCAACTATCAGGTGGGATCACTGTGTGTGTGCGTATACATTGGTAAGTGTAGGAAAAAGTCCACCAACATTTCAGATTGGAGGCTCGAGGGTTGTGATTTTCCTATTTTCTAGTTTCTCAGATGCCCTTGTCAATACCGATTCTTGATTAACATTTATCCCAACATTTTCTGGAATTTCGCTGCTAGTTGTATTTCTTGAACGTCATCTCAGTGTTCACTTAGTTTAATGGCAATGATGACCGGACTTAGCCAGAACTGCCAGTTAGTAAGCTTTTACATTTTAATTACTTGCTCTGATTAGACCTGGCGAGAGGCATTAACTTAACCTGTCCAGCTCCTGCAACAAAAAGGGCCAGTAGAGAGGGAATCCCTGTGTGAAGGGGGGGAGGGGTAGTGTTTGTGAAGAAAGGTCTCCCACATAGGGACCCTCAGTAGAAGCTAGCTAACCTTTGGAAATTTGATCTTCCTCTGCCTTGGTTTCCTTCTTCCGAACTCAACAGTATTAGTTTCTTTCAGAACTCTTTGAGAAGATAGTCTAATAAAAGACCATAAATCTTTTTTACTAGGTGAAGCATTTACCACTCTAATTAGCATTCCCATTCGAAGGCTTTCATAGTCAAGAAACAAACACCAGCGGGATCCCTGGGTGGCGCAGCGGTTTGGCGCCTGCCTTTGGCCCAGGGCGCGATCCTGGAGACTCGGGATCGAATCCCACGTCGGGCTCCCGGTGCATGGAGCCTGCTTCTCCCTCTGCCTGTGTCTCTGCCTCTCTCTCTCTCTCTGTGACTATCATAAATAAATAAAAAAATTAAAAAAAAAACCAAACACCAGCATTCCATGCGCTAGGGTTGAAGGGAGTCAATCTTAAATCATGAGTAAGCAGAGGTGATGGACCTAAAGCGTTTAGGCATTGCCTGTGTTCTGATAATCCGTCATCAGAACTTTACTGAGGTACCATCATGCTAAAGATACTGTCCTAGGTTTTATGAACAGAGATAGAGTCCAAGCCTAGCATAGTGGATTTGCTAAAAAAAAAAAAAAAAAAAAAAAGCTCTTATTTATGGGTTGTGCCAAAGTAGGTCTGCACAAAATGTTGATGACACCCCCACAGCAGAGTAGACTACGCTTCAGAGTAAGAGGCAGGCTGGGTCCTGGAGCATGTATGGAGAGGAGTCTACTGGGCAGTAGAAAGGCCATCGACGGGCAAGAAGATAATGTAAATTCTGAGGCAGGCGGACCAGCCTCTTAGTTTCCCAGAGGCTGACAGCTCTCAGTCCCACCCTGGGAGGGTGGTGGTGGGTGCGAGGGCCGGAGTCCCCGAGGCAGGCCCCTAAAGCTGCAGCTGCACGCCGACGGGGTGCAGGAGGACAAGGAGAAAGTTTGGGAAGGGAGGGGGCGGGGCGAGCCCTCTGGCGCATGCGCGTGGCAGCGGGCCGGCTCAGCGGGGGGTTTGGCCTGCGGCTCGCTCCCCGCGTCGCGCCCCGCGTGTCCCCACACACTGAGCCCCGAGAGCGAGCGCGTCGCGCGCCCGCGCACCTCCCGGCCGGGCGGACCGGCGGGCGGGCGGGCGGGCGGGCGGGCGCCTGCGCACGAGCGTCCCGGGCGCCGGAGCCGCGGGGTTATTAGAGGTGGAGCGCGGGGAGGGCGCGCGGCAGGAGGCGGCCGCCGTGACGGCGCGGGCGTGGTCACGTGCTCGCTGGTCACCGCCGCCGCCGCCCCCCCCCCCTCCCGCCCTGTTCTCTGTCTGGTCGGGCCGGGCCCGGCCGGTTCCGCGAGCGCCCGGCAGAGACTGAGGGAGAGAGAGAGAAAGAGGAGGAGGGGAGGAGGAGGAGGAGGAGGAGGAGGAGGAGGAGGAGGATTCAGGGAATAGGAGCTGGGGAGCCCTGCTGCGCCACAGGTAAAACAAGATGATGATGATGATGATGATCGTAAAAAAGCCTGCGCCCCCTCCCCCGCGCGAGCGCCTCCGCCTCCCTCCAGCGCAGCCCCCACGTGCAGCCGCCGCCGCCGCCGCCGCCGCCCCCGCCGCCCGCAGCGCCTCTCGGAGGGCCCGAGGCCGCCGCCGCCGCCGCCGCCGTCCTCGCCCGTGCGCCTCCCGGGTCGGCGTGGGGCCGGGCGCGGGAGGGGGCTCCCGGCCGCCGGCCCCGCCTCGGGGGCCCGGGCTCGATCGAGGCTGCAAGGCCGGCTGCGGCGGGAGCGCGGAGCCCCGGGCCCGGCGGCCGCTCGCCCTCCTACTTGGTCACTCTTCCTGCTGGTGTCAGCCCCGGGCGCGCGGCGCGCTTCCTCCGCAGGCCGGAAGCGGAGCGGGCCCCGGAACCCCCGAACCTCGGAAAAGGCAGCCTTTAGACTCAGGGAGGCTTATCCACCTTGGAGGGCAGGAACGCGTTTTCGTGCGAATTGACGCTTATTCACCTGTAAGAGAACATGCCAGTCGAGGCCTCTTAGGGATCTGAGACAAACTTTGTGCAAGTTGATCTCCCCCCGCCCCCTCCCCCACCCGCACCCCCCACCCCTTCCCCTACTTTTTCCTGCAGGAACGAACACAAACCTCCTAAAACAGTTTTTGGTTCTGCAGACGACTTAGGGTTGGTTCAGTGCCAGTTTTGGTTTCAGAATATGATTTGAAAGTTCACAGCCTTCAGATTTTTTTTTTTCTTTCTTTCTTTCTTCTTCCTGAATAACGATTTTTCGGGAATGAGTTGTGTGTATCGAGGCCGAATTGTACTGAATCCTGAAATTGTAGCGTCCACGTTGCGCAGCTTTGGGCCTGATCGCGTGCAGATTTCTAGAATTAGTCATTATTTGTACTCCTCGTACGACAAAATACAGCACCAAGGAAACTGCTAGTGTGCTGTTGCGCGACATACTGACTTGAAGCAGGAAGTATTAAATGTAGGCATTGTTGAAAATAAACCTTTGAACACTTAAATTCCTTTATATGTTGGCCATTTCCCTTAACTGAACTCCTCTGATTCCACGTCTTGGAATTTTCATGCTACACCCCTGAACTCAAATATGAACTTGAGCATTTAAAATTTTTACAGCTCTCTGCAGTAGAGTCCAAGCAAGTGCTTCTCAAACTTTCATGTGCATAGGGATCCCTTGGGGCCGGTGTTTAAAACTGCACATTCCGATTTAGTAGATCTGTGATGCATCTTGATACTCTGCATTTCCTTAGGGCTCCTAGGTGCTGCTGGGCGAGGAACAGTTGAGTAGCAAGGGTGTGGATAATGAGTATGCTAAGAAATAAAATGATGTGTCCACGAATAAGTGTCTTAATTCATCCTGAGTGTAGAGGTGACAAGAGAAGGGGCAAAAAGGCAGGATGGACTGAGAAAGTTCACATCAGGGCCATCCTTGATGAAGACTGAGCATGCTATTTTGGGATACCAGGAGAGGGGATAGTTGGACTGGGGAAAATTGCCCCAACCTGTAGGAGTGCAGGCACCAGGAGAGGGGATAGTTGGACTGGGGAAAATTGCACCCAACCTGTGGTGCTTACCTCACCTGGCTTACCTCCTGGTGTCTCTGAATCCATTGCTGGGATGAAATTTTCTTTTATTAGTGAAAGTATCGAGTGTTTGCTTTCTCTTTCAGACAACAGCCACAATTGAGCAATGCATTTCAGAGCCTTGGAGGCTAACTTGTAAAGAATTTAGGGTTTCAGCCTGTTGAAGTTATCCTAAATGGGTTCAGATTTTTCCCCCAACCTAATTAAGAATGTAAATTGAAAGTATCATACTTCACCTCATACTTTGTCTGTAAAAATATCTACTTTTTAAAAGCTTTATTGAACTGTAACATCAGTTACTTTCAGCATCGTAATTTTTAAGGTCTTTATTCTAGTCCTTACTTTACCGTTATTTCATGTTCTTAAATAATACTTATGGCTGTGCTTTTGAAGCATGAAGTGCCAGTGTTTATTTATCTTTTTTTTTTTTCTTAAAGATTTTATTTATTTATTCATCAGAGACAGAGACAGAGAGGGAGAGGGAGGGGTGGAGAAGCAGGCTCCATGCAGGGAGCCTGATCCTGGGACCCAATCCTGGGACTCCATCCTGGGACTCCAGGATCACACCCTAGGCGGAAGGCAGCGCTAAACCTCCAAGCCACCCAGGGATCCCCGCACTTTATGTATCTTAACTCACGTGATGCTCGCAAAAATCTTTAAGGAAACTGAACTAGAGAGAGAGTAAAATAGCTGAGACTCTGGCGGGCTGACTCTAGAGTCCATGCTTTAATAATCTTCTTGCAGTTTTTTTGGTGAAGAAAATAAATTAATGACGCTTTTTAAAATCTCCTTTTCATAGTATTATTAAAAATTATGAGCTTAACTTTAATTTTAAAGTCCAGACTTGTCATCTTTTTAAGTTCCCCCCATCATATTCCAGTTTAAAATAAAAACTTGCCTCAATGCTTGTAATCTTTTCTGAATAAGATACTGAAATTTGCAAAGCTTTGTTTGCACCTGTTTGCCAGACCAGTCTCAAGTCTCTAAGTCACCATTAAATGTGAAAGTAGTGTCTATTTCCTTTTGACCCTGCAAGTTTTCGTTCTTCATTCTGTATGCCTGTCTTCCACCCTTTCCCCCCCCTCTACACATACATAGTGCATACATAGATTTATCCTGTATTTGTTATACTAACATTTAGGATTTTGGGGGGGATTGATGGGTCACTGACTTTTCATTTGGCCAGTAAGGATGATAACAATTTAAACATGAGTCATTGTTACCATATCTTAACAATGAAAAAGTAATAAGGACAATCTCAGTGTCCTTTTGTCTCCACTCACTGAAAGCTTTGACCTATATCAACACCAGTCTGAGGATTGGTGCTTAGACACTTGGTCTAAGACATTTCTCTTAACTTGGACAGATGATTAGAATGGCAGTAATATTACAGTTGTGTACTGGAACTTGAGAAGTGAGATTTTGTGGGTGCGGGCAGTTGTGGGAGGGGGAAGTGAGAGGAAAGGGCATATGGGCTGATTCCAGGAGCATTAATTTTCCGTTAACTTGGATAATCCTTTGGGAAGAAAGTCGGTATGACAACAAATCCCTGTTGTAAATATTTTCTCAAAGTTCATACTCTGTTGTGATGTCTGTTGTAATGTTATGCTGGACAGTTACTTAGCCTTATAGTGCCCCACTTTTCTCAACTTAAAAATGTGGATAATAATAGTACCTCAGAAAATTGCTTTGAGGATTAAATGAGTGTATATATATGTATGTATGTGTGAGTATAGCATATGTACATATACATAATGCTTGGTGTCTGACACATAGTTAATGCTGTCATGTAAGTGTTAGGTACTGTGTTTTACTATGGGTAATCTACAGTGTGGTTGATCATACATAATCAAGACTGACTGTAATTGAATAACTTTAATGGAAATCGTACATTTATTTGGCATAAAGCTGTATGGGCCAGCAAAACAGAAAGTTTGTACTTTTTGGATTAAATATAAAATTGGTATAGTAATGCTCTTAGGGAATTAAATATGAATGAATACGGTCTGGTTGCTCTGATCTTCCAAAAACAAGGAAGTCAGTAAGAAATAAAAGATGTTTTTGGTGGTGATAGGAAAGGATTGGTTTAAAATTTTCTTTTTTTTTTTTAATTTTATTTATTTATTCATGAGAGAAACACACACACACACGCACACACACCAGAGGATGAGAGAGAGAGGCAGAGGGAGAAGCAGGCTCCAGGCAGGGAGCCTGACATGGGACTTGATCCCAGATCTCCAGGATCATGCCCTGGGCTGAAGGCGGCGCTAAACTGCTGAGCCACCTGGGCTTCCCCTTTTTTTTTTTTTTTTTTAAATTTTATTGGTTTAAGATTTTCAAGTGTACTGTTATGAGCCTAGAACACGGTAACCTTATTTTATTTCTTTTTTTTTTTTTAAAGATTCTTTTTTTTTGGGGGATCCCTGGGTGGCGCAGTGGTTTGGCGCCTGCCTTTGGCCCAGGGCGCGATCCTGGAGACCTGGAATCGAATCCCACGTCGGGCTCCTGGTGCATGGAGCCTGCTTCTCCCTCTGCCTGTGTCTCTGCCTCTCTCTCTCTCTCTCTCTGTGTGTGTGTGTGTGTGACTATCATAAATAAAAAAATAAAAAAAATTTAAAAACAAATTCTTTTTTTTTTTAAGATTTTATTAATTCATGATAGAGAGAGAGAGGCAGAGACACAGGCAGAGGGAGAAGCAGGCTCCATGCAGGGAACCCGACATGGGACTTGATCCTAGGTCTCCAGGATTGCACCCTGGGCTGAAGGCAGCTCTAAACTGCTGAGCCACCCGGGCTGCCCGGTAACCTTATTTCTGAAGGCTTTTCTGACTATAACTTTTACCTCCCTCTGCCGACTCCTTTGCTCCTTAAATTAATCCATCTGTCCTGACATACTCCAGACCTGATCTACAGCCCCTTATCTAAAAACCCATGGTAGCATATATGTCTCAGAAGGAAAATTTTGGGAATTTAGAAAATCAATATGGTGCATATACCATATATCATGAAACCTGTGCATAGGAACAATCACCCCATAGTTGTACACATTAATACAGGATTTGTGTGTCAACATTTTATATCGTTAGCACCTGTTATAGGACCTAGCATGCAGTAGATGCTCATTAAATGTCCACTAGTTCAAATGAAAAACATGTAAAGATAGTATCGTTCATTGTTCTGTGCTACATGTGATGTCTTTGACTGACTCTGTGAAAATATTTAGTAAGTGCAGATTTTTCATCTTAACTCAGTTGCTGATTATTGGGTTACTTTTCTGAGATAAATAAACTTAAGAGATTTGAAATAGGCATTATAGATGATTGGAAATTTTTATAAATTTGTGTTGACAAGAATGCTTACTTTTTACCTTTATGGATCTTGAAGTCT